CTTTCCATAGTGGTTGTACCAATTTGCAGTCCCATCAGTAATATATGAGTGTCCCTTTTTCCCCACATCCTTGCCAATATTTATTGTTGCTGGTGTTTTCTATTTCACTGCTTAAAATTGATCTGTTTATATTGTGTATGTCCACTTTATCTGATATGAGGATAGAAATCCCTGCTTGTTTACATGACCCATGTGAGTGATATGTTTTATCCTATCCTTTCACCTTCAATCTGTGGATGTTTTTGCCTATGAGGTGAGTCTCTTGGAGACAGCATATTGTTGGCTCTTATTTTCTAATCCAATCTGCCAGTCTATGTTTTTTGATTGATGAGTTTAGGCTATTAGCATTCAAAGTTATTATTGAGATATGATTTGTATTCCCAGGTTTATTTCTAGTTTATAACTTGAATTAGTGTTTTTTTTTTGATTTACTATTTAGCCAGTCTTTAGTGTAGCTCTCCCTTTTTCTGGTTTTCACTTTTTTTCCATTTCATCTTCAAGGAATATTTTGCTGAGAATGTTCTGTGGTGCAGGCTTTCTAGTTGTGACTTTTTTTTAACTTTTGTTTATTGTGGAAGGTTTTTGTTTCATCTTCCAATATGAAGCTTACTTTTGTTGGGTATAGAACTCTTGGTTGGCATCCATTTTCTTTCAGAGCTTGGTATATATTATTCCAAGACCTCTTAGCTTTGAGGTTCCTTCACATGTGTGCAAGTCAGCCCAATTTAAAAGTGAGTGTGAAGGTCAATCCCTATAGCACTCAACCTATCAGTGAATCAGACATCTCAGAAACTTGTTTTTATTGTATTTACAAATGTATCAGTCCATGATGTGTTGGGAAAACACTGGTCCTTCTCTACAGATTGAGAATCACAATACATAATGTTTCTATGAAATGGCATGCTGACTGGGGTGGTGTTGAATGAGGTGGTGGGCTGGAGGAGAGGGAGAGGACACTCCAGGCACCCAATGGACCCACAGGGACATGTGCAAGGAAGAGGCCTCAGACTATTCCACTTCAAAGTTGTGCCTGGGATTATTTGAAGCTAGAGACATCTGCACCATGAAGAGAATGCCGAAGTAATAGGAATATTATTCCTAGTTGGAACATATAAACAAATGCTAAATTCTTTATTCACCTTCTTCTCAAGCTAGTTTGGTTTGAGAGATCAGCTGAGATCCATATTGGTTTCCCTCTAGATGAAATCTGTCATGTTTCTCTGGTAGCCTACAAAATTCTATCCTATTCCATATGGTAGACATTTTCTTAATAATATACCTTGGTGTGAGTCTGTTCTAGTTTTGGACATTTGGGGTCCTATAAGCCTCCTGTATTTGATTTTCCATTTCATTCTTTAGGTTTGGGAATTTTTCGGATATTATTTAATTGGAAAGATTGTGCCTTCCTTTTCTTTGTATCTCCAAACCTTTATCTATCCTGATAAATCTGAAATTTGATCTTTTCAGGTTGTTCCATATTTTTTGGAAGTTCTGTGCATGGTCTCCTAACATCTTTTCTCCGTTTTCAGCTTTGTTTTCCAGATTATATAGTTTGTCTTCATTGCCTGAAGTTCTGTCTTCCAAGTGGTCTATCTATTGGTCATGCTTCCCATTGAATTTTTAATTCATTTTATTGATTCCTTCATCTCAAGGATTTCTGCTTGATTTCTTTTCAGAATCTCTACCTCTTTATTGAAGTGATCTTTCACCACCTGAATTTTATCTATGATTTCACTACTTACATTGTCGTTTACCTTGCAAACCTGTTTAATTATATATATTCTAAACTCTTTCTCTGTCATTTCTTTCACTGGGAGTCAATGGATCTATCATTGGAGTATCTTGGTTTTGGGGGGGGGTGATTTTCACCCTTGTTTTTTCCATATTGTTCTTTATGTCTACCCATCTAGTAGTGTGTCTACCCTGTAGACTTACAATTTCCCTGAAAATTTCCAGTATTTTGTCTTTAAGGGGGAGACAAATAATAATAGCAAACAATGCAAAAAAAAAAAAATACCACATTAAACCAAATAGCTCCTACTATGCTGTGTGCATTTTTGTCACAATAAACAGAAATGTTGTGTTCAATTGTTACCTACAATGAAAACAGTAAGTTTGCCAAAGTGCTTACAATTTCAAATGCTGGACAAAGAGAGAACAGAAGTGGTGTTCTTGAGGGAGGAGGAGAGAATATAGAATAAAAAATTACAGGAAGAGTAAAAGAGTGAATGATAAGAGGTTGGCTGCTAGCAGGAGAAAAGAGAGAAAGAGATTCAAGGCAAACAAATAAGGAAGAGAAAAAATATATATGAAATAAAAATTAAAAATCGAAAAAAAAATTTAAAAAGGCTATAAAACAAAACTGAAATATACTATTCACACATCCCAGTCCTCAATAAACTGATGCATGAAAAATAATTGGTTTCAAAATGATAGAAATGTAAGAGAAAAAGGGGGGAAAAGATCTTGATGAAAAATTGAACAATTGTTTCTCTTGGAGTTCAAAATATTCTCAGCTTCCTTTCTCAGAAGTTAAATGCATTTGCAGCAAGTGTGATGCTTGCTCCCACCTTAGGGTGGGTGTGGTTTCTAGGATAAGAAGGTTAATCCTGGAGGAGGAATTCCTGGAGGCAGGGTGTAGGTTTAAGTATCTCCAGTCTCTTGGCTGAATGCCAGTTGGTCTGGAGATTTTAAGTCAGAGCACCTCCAGGACCCAGTAATTGCTGGTCCATGCTGGAAGAAAACACCCAGAAATATCCTTTGGGTTCCACTCATGTGGTGTAGGAGCCTAATCTTAATCCAATATGTTACCTGTGCACTCCATGATTCCTGGTCTGTGATTCAGTCTCCAAACTCAATCTCTCCTGCCCTCACCCTTTCAAATTCCTGGTCAGGAACTTCTCTCCCCATTGGTCCTGCAAGCAGCTGGATTGGAAGGGGAGTGGGAAGCCAGATGGGTTACCATGAACAGTATTACCCTTTGTAAACCTCTCTCCATGTTTGATTTTCTCCTGTCACTTAGGCACACTCTCTGTCATGCAGTACGCATTTTCCTGGCTTATTTCTCAGCTGCAAAATAATTCCTTCTGTTGTCTTCTACCTGGCTTGGGAAGAGATGGTGTCTTTTTTTCTTTATGAGGATATTGTGCAGTACAGCTTATTGTTTATTTGGGCAATGACTCTGATTTCTAAACTCTCCATGTCCCCAGAAGTCTCAGTCCTCCTGAGAATGAGGCTTCCTTTAATTCCTTTATTGCTGTACTGTGTTCATGGAAGGACTGTTCTGGCTTGTGCCTTCACTTGCTGACGCAGCTATGGGGCTGGGGATTTTTCCTCTTATTTTATTTCATTCAATCACCTGAGTCCCTGATCTGTTTTGAGTGTCCAGTATTAAATTCCAGTAAAGTCCCCCCTAATTTTCTTCATTCACCCACCTTGCTGAAAAGCCACCTGTCTGCTTTTCTTGGAGCCACCAGGGAAGCGATCTCCCCATTCCTCCATCTTCCTGGAAATGCATTTTGGTTTTGCTTTGGTCACTTCAGTTCTATCAAGCAGAATACTTGTTTTAAAACCCTGTGTGCATTAGAATCTCCTTCTGTTCTGAACCCAGGAGTGCCTCACTTGGTCAGTGTCCCTAAAGATCATTTTGCAAACTTGTATCACAATGGCTGCACCACAAACCACCTGAGATTTTTTTTTTTAATTTTAAAGATTTATTTTTATAAGTAAGTGGAGATACCTCCAAATCTGTATTTTAAAATTGATCACTAGCTAAATATTGTCTGTTGCCTGGCTATGAGATGATTCATCACAGCAGCAGACACATCTACCCATCCTGGAAGCTAAGATTGAATTCATTTTTTGGTTTCTTCAGAAAAACCCAAGTTCTGTGAGTTTTCTGTTGTGTAAGAACAATAATTTTATTCACCTCAATTGGTCAATAATGTTGGCAGTGGACATTTGAAGAGAGCACTGAGGGTTTCTAGGGTGACAGGGTTAAGAGAGCACACTTGAGGTAAAATTTACATGAAAGATTTAGTATCAGAACAACAACAGTTTTGAAGCCACAAACAGTAACGAATTTGCCTGATGTGCATAGGCTAATCACATTATCTAGGCATGATTAAAATCCTAGGGCAGAAGAAAATGATGCCAGATAATTTTATAAGGATGTAATAATGTTCATTACTACATTTCTTCATAATAAGAGCTATATCTTTTTCAATTCTGGTGCTACAGATTGAACCCATGCATGCTAGGCAAGCACTCCACCACTGAGCTACATCCTCAGCTATTTTTCAATTTTTAATCAATATACATGTAATATAAAATTTCTTTTTTAAAAATTATTAAATTGCATCTTTTATAATTAATGTCTTTTTAAATGTGAAGTAATGTGATATTTTAAATAGTGGATTTCTTCAACTTAATTTATAAATTTACACATTTATACAGCAAGATGATACTCAGAGAGGGAGTGTCCTCAACTTCCTTTACATTTAAGAATATTTGTTAACCTCCTGCTAAGTTTCTGACATTGTTACATGAGTGGGAATAACAAGACTGGTCAAAATTTAAAGTCTCTGCTATCCAAAGTCATGTACTGGTGATTAAACATGGGTTGACATTCCTCTGATTTTATCCTAAAACTTGCTCAGATGATTTTTCAGTGGCTCACAGAGTGGACAAAAATGGCTAAATAAGGAAAGGTAAAATTAAATTCTTTTTAGAAATGGCATGGCATGGAGTTTCCAAGGAATCTGATGTACAGGGCAAAAATAAGCTTGTGAAAAATACCAACTATTATGTGAATTGTGATAGGCCATCTGACAGCTAACAGGTGTCTTAGAAAAGAAGCCAGAAGCAGAGCTACAATACTGACTGGAGAGAGCAGGTCAGCAATCCACTGAGTTTCCAATCCTGCCCACAAGGGGGTGCACTTCTAACACACACACACACACACACACACACACACACTTCCTGTTTTACTTCTGAACTCACAAGAATCCTCACTGTGACCTGAACCTTTCCTTACACTGTGAATTCAGGATCCAAGGACTGCAGAGGCTCTGAAAATGAACTGTGCCCCAGGACCAGTGATTGTATTAGTCTTAATGTTTGGTAAGGAAAATGGCATATAGAGCTTAGAGTGTTTGGTTCCACCATGCTGATGCAATTTTTAACCAATATTTCTCTAAGAGGCAGAACGCTAACCGTGATGAAGGCACCCTGCACTGAGTTATTATTTTTTTCTTCTCAGGAGGAAGCAATGGTGACTCGGTGACCCAGACAGAAGGTCAGGTGATCATCTCTGAAGGGACTTCCCTGACTGTGAACTGTTCCTATGAAACCTCACAGTATCCTGCCCTATTCTGGTATGTCCAATATACTGGAGAAGGTCCACAGCTCCTTTTTAGAGTCTCAAAAGCCAATGAGAAGGGCAGCAACAAAGGTTTTGAAGCCACGTACAATAAAGAAACTTCCTCCTTCCACTTGAAGAAAGCTTCCATTCAAGAGTCAGACTCGGCTGTGTACTACTGTGCTCTGAGTGACACAGTGGCAGAATCTGCAGGGGGAGCTGAGCACAAACTCTGAGTAGCAACCAGGGGCCTGGCGGCTGAGCATCTGCCTTAGATCTCTCTGGTTTGGGGACCAGGAACTACTCTGCTATCATAGCCATCTGACATCCACCCAGGCAGTGCTATGCTATCAAAGTCATCTAAACCAAACCCTAGAACACTTCAAAAGAACAAGAAGTAAACAAGCCTCAAACAAGATGCCTTAACAGTGAGGGTAAAAACAGTCTGTCACCATAGTTCCTCAACCATGCTAGAAATACATGATTTCAAAAAGATAGAACTTCCCAATGAAGGAAATGTTCTTTATGTTCACCCTTGAATGTAATTCTATCTCCTTGATCTTCTCCCAGGATATGTAGGAGTATATTGTGTTCAGAGACAGCTGTGGTATATGATGGTGCAGATGTGTAATGTCTTTGATAAGCTGGTGATTTCTGAGGGAATCATCCAAAGAAACAATAGGTCCCGTTTTTTATGGTACTAGGGATTGAACCCAGGGGTTCATGCATGCTAGGCAATTGCTCTACCACTGAGTCACATCCCCAGCCCAACAGTCCATTCTTAAAGAAAAAAAATATACGAAAGGAAGGAGAAGGAGAATTTACATTTTTGTTAAAAGCCATCTGTGGGCTATGTATGGACTACATCAGCATCGCAGCCTAGTGAATAGCAACATCTGGTGTTTGGGAACTTCCCGTGGCAATCCCACAGAGTAAGATCGCCCAAAAACATTGTGAATTTCTATGCCACGCTGCCTGGTCCCATACAACACTGGAGATGGGGTGACCTGGCACAACCACCCAGCCACACAGCCCCTCAGAGATGGGCGTGACCTGCCAAGATGCCAATCAACCTGCTGACTGCAAGACATCAAGAAGCAAGACTCCACTCCTGAAACTTTATCCCTGCCTTTGATGTACCCCTTTAAATAAACCAAGAGAGCCATTTTCTAATTGTCTAGCTCCAGCTCTTATGTGGACTGGACCTATCAGAGGCTCCACCTTTTTGAAACTATCTTTCCAACTTTGTCTTTTTTCCTTCACTAATTTAGACTTTAATTTTTAGGTGGCTTACACCTTCCTTGCCAGGAAGAAGAACCCCCCAATGAGGCACTGGTCACCTCCCTATAAGTCTTTCCACAAGAAAGAGAAAATGGAACACTTCTTTATTTTCTTGGGTTAATTATATGGCATACATACGTGGCAGAACTCCAAAATAGATTAGCCACTACCCAAAATATGTAGAGATACCCACCCTTTTCTCAGTAAGAATAATAATTTCTCTGTGAGATGATGCCAAGATAGAGAGGCAGTGTCCAGAGTCTGGAAAAGGAAAATTGAATTTCTTATCTGTAATTGGTCAGGAAGGGAATGCCAGCATCCCCCATGTAGTTAAGTCGTTTCTTATACAAAAGGGGAAGGATGGTTGCCAGGACTATAAGAGAAGAAGGATGGTTTAAAAAGATGTGCCTTTGGATTTAAGGGCAGGTATCTTATTGTCTTTGTAATAGTGGAGATTTTCTTTTACCTTGTCTATCACAGCTGCATGATGTATATCAGTTTATTGGGTCATAAAGAATATTTTGCTTGTGATACTTTTTCCTTTTAGATATTGGGAGATGACGCTGTTTGGAGGGTTATGTGCCCTAAAACAGGAGAATTGCTTAAAACACTTTTTAAGTAGCAGTGCAACCCCTATGTGTCCTCCACCACCTTTTACAATAGCAACTGTCATTCACAAAATACAAGAGACTAAGGTTTATTCTTTGGAAACAGCCTATGATTTGGGGGACACCAAAGAAACCTGAGTGTGGGGTGATGGCTTAAGTTGAAAATAGGGAAATTGCATGAATTTCTGTGCTCTGATTTGTGAGGCCTTCAGTTCCTCTTATATTTAGCTTTTATTTAAATTTTATTATATGAATATATGGCAAGAGAGTTTTTAAAGTATTCCTTTCTTTAAAGCTAACAACAAAATAGCTTACTGTAAGTCTGGCAAAATCATAAACTTCAATTTACTTTTTTGACATGATCTCCTGTTACAGTTAAAATTTTTTGTATTAAATTTATCCTTGCATGAATTATTAATGGTGTTTTTCTCCTGATTGGACCAGATTTATCCATGCATCAAGGACCATAAACAACTGGAGATCATCCTCCTTCTTCTCACCTCCCCACTCCAGCTTAAGAAATAATAAAATAAAAATCTTCCTTTATTTATTTTTATTGCTTTAATAATTATATTAAGAAGAATTTAGAAATATTATAAAATTTTTATGACAATGAAATTAATTTTGACTTTTCAAAGTTTTTGACACCAAAATAATACCATCTAGGCAAATTGTAACTTTTTTTTTTCAGAGCTGGCAATTGAACTCAGGGCCTTGTGCATGCTAGGCAAGCATTGTACCAATCCAGCCAAATCCTAGCACTGTGATCAATCGTTAAAAATATTTTAACTTACAACACAAATAGGCACTCAATCACTTACCAGTGGAAATGTCTGAAGATCATTATTCCAGTTAATTTTCTCAAATGCAACCAACTGTCTTAATCACTTACTTTTGATTTCCTATTTCTTAAAAACAGAACAAGAAGGAAGCAATAATTTGAAAGCAATCTTGACACATAATAAATCTTTCATCAGCAGAAAGTTTTCTTGTAACCCTTTCCAGGCAACCCACCTTCTGGAGGCAATAGAAGTTCTTATTTCTACCACCATAGATTTACCTTCATTGTTTTTAGAAATTAAAATCTATGGTGGTCTGGTAGGTTTTAATTCCTGGTTTCTTTTGCTCAACATGTTTTTGAAGTTCACTAATGTTCTCATGAGGATCCATCATTCATTACTATTATTGCTGAGTAGTATCTTACTATACAAATATAATGTAAATTTTTATACATTCCACTGTGTCCACCCCTGGCTGGACACAGAATCTTTTAGAGGTTATTTGTTGCTGCCATCTTATAAGCACAGAAGTATAGGCTAACCTAGATTTGCATATTCTGTCAATATGGGATGTCTCAAAAACATTTTAGTCAAACCCCTGTTAAATACCTTTATTAAAAACTCCACTTCTAATATTTATTGTGCTATTGAAGTGCCACTACTTTGGACTCAATATCTGATACTCCTTATGATATTTAGGAATTCAGGCATTCATCAAATTGTGGGTGGCTAAATAATGGTCTTCTCTGTGGTGGAATTCTGTCACAATGGCAGTTGCCACTCCTGGAGTTTGTGTTCCTCACTGGATCAATTGATTCTCCTCAGAGGGGATACTTAAATTAACTAGCACATTCTTGACATACCATGGTCTTCATTTAAAAAGATTCAATGTAAGCCAACCTCAGCAACTTAGCAAGGCCCTGAACAACTTAGCAAGACCCTGTCTCTAAATAAAATATTAAAAAAGGACTGGGGATGTGGTTCAGTGGTTAACTACCCCTGGGTTCAATCCCCAGTACAAAAAAAAATACTTTAATGTTAATTATATACCCTAGTAAGTTGATATATTCATTCGTCCTTGGCAAGTGATATACAGATACTCTGAACAAATTTTAGATAATTTTTCTTACAAGTTCGAAGATCTGTGAATCATACAATTGTAGTCTTTTCTCAACAGTTAATCCAGAGAATTTTCAGATTTAATGACACTTTTCACTAAACAATGAATTAAAATACTGAAAAGCTTGGTAGTAATTTACGAAGAAAATTTCACCAATTTGTTGTTGAATACCAAATACGTAACATTTTCAGTACAAACTTCCACTCTTTCTAGCATTCCGACAAAACTGTTTAGGATATTTTAGCCTTCAAGACACAGTTCTCACAGGGATAGAAAAGATAAGGGAGAACTATTATTTGGAAGACAAATGCAAGTGTAGTCAGCACAGCTATAAAAGGTAAAATGTTGGAATGTGCAAGATATTCTATATGTATAGTGTAACTCTAAATTGCTCTTTGTCATCAGTTTCATATAATAGGATATTTAAAATGCACTCCTGTATTTGTTTTCTAAGGCCACCAAAACAAGAAGCCACAGACTGTATAGATTAAATGACAGACATTTATTTTCTCCAAGTTCTGGAGGCAGGAAGTCCAAGGTCAAGCTTTCAGCAGGATTAGTTCTCCTGAGGCGTCTTTCCTTGGTAAGCAGATGACACCTTCACTGACTCCTCACATGGCCTTCTTCTGAGGATGTGCATGCCTGTACCCAAATTTCCTCCTCTTCTGGGAACACCAGTCATTTTGAGGTGGAGCCCACCTATCTGACTTCATTTTACCTAAAATGACGGCTATAAAACCTTTTCCCATGACACCAGTTTCTGAGGTTCTTGGGGTTAGGGATTCAACATATAAATTTTGAGTGGTAGCAATTCAATCCATAGCAATCCTCCAGGTGAATAAATGGTGAGTTCATGAACAATACTGTTGAAACCTCCCTGATCCAACACTGTACATATTTCAGATCCTATATAAATAAATAATTAATGAGATTTTACCCCCTTCTCTTAAGTGTTTCTAGAGAGCCCAGCAACATGCAATTACAAATACTTCATAAAATATTCCAAATTGTAAAAGAAAGGAGATAGAGGCACCAGCAACAAAAATGTAAAAGCTGTTATTCAGACGTGTCACTGTTCTCCTTTGCTGTCTCAGGGTTATGGAATTTTCCATTTTTAGTTTCTGTAACTCCAGCATCATTTATTCTTGGTATTTTATCTTTTATCTTTAACTCATTTTTCATTTGTTCCCAATTCTCTTTTCTGCATGTATATGAATTCTTTATTTACCTGTTTTTTTTCCCCTGTTGACTCATATTTTACCTCACAGGAGTTATTTTCGCTAAATTTCTCTTATCTTGACTTCTCCTTTACTATTGGAATTGAAATACTTTGGGGATGTGTCTTCCATGGTTTCTTGGGTTTAGTGGGTGAGGGAGAGGGTTCCAGTCCTCTCCCACAGAAAGAGCAGGAAGAATCTTATCGTATATGTTAAGCTTTCCTGGTTATTTTCTATGAAACAATATATAGCAATATTTTTAATTTTAATTCGATCAGATAATTTTTCATGAGATTTGAATATTGATGGTTGGATTTGGTTTTAATAATTTTATGTTGCTTGGTGTACTCTTGATTATTTACTTTTTTTAGTCTGTTTTCTGTTTCTTTGATAAAGTTTTCCTTTTTATTTAGTCTTTTAGAAAATGTAAAGTCTATTTTTGTTCTTTTAATTACTCTAAATTTTATGTGTGTAACATGCAGTCAATGGAGGTTGGGCTAAGTGATTGCTGAGGACTTGGTTGGTGTTCTGAGGCCTTTGTTAATGGTTTCAGTCCACCAGGGGGCACTGCAGGCTATGTCAGGAATGACTTATTCTGAAGATCCCACAGGGTGAACAGTTAAGACAGGAAACCAGAGAACATGTGAGCCAGTCATGTCAGAGACAGGGGCAGTGGGTGGTATTGTAAAGTTCATCTCAGGCCTTCAGCTCTGCCATTCTATATAAAACCTCAGAAAGCTAGAGCCTGTATCTATATTCATTGATAGCCCTATGTCTATAAATCCTTTGGAAAGATGATTCTCTGAGCAGAGGTGAGAAAATTGGAATTTTACTGGGCACTGTAAACACAGAAGTTTGATAGAAAACATCTCCATCACTCTTTTCATTTAATTTTTTTATAAATAAAATTTCCAAAATTTACCAAATTAGAAAATTTTCTAATACTCCTAATATCCTGTATTTTCATATATGTTTGCTGAAAATAGAAGGTAGAAGAATAAAGAGATAAGAAGAAAAAGGGGAAAGTAAGAAATAAAAATGGAAGAAGAAAAAGGAGAGGACACTATTTATCTTGACCAGTAATATGTGGCCTCATTGGAATCTGCTGTGTGGCCTGCAAGGTGTAGGGAAAAGGGTTGGACAGAAAAAGGGAAGAGGTGTAAAATAAATCAGGGTAAATAACATACATATATGCTGTTTCTCTTTGAATAAGCCAGACTCCAACATTTCCAATGTAGATCATGATCTTCTGATTTCAAGGAAGTTTGTCCACTTTTTAATATGCATTGCACGCTCTCAAATACTTTATTTTATTAGAATTTTTATATAATTGATTGCTCAAAAACCTTCGTCAAACTATGTGACTTGGGAAATGGGCATACTCTTCCTGTGACTCTTCGAGGCTCCACTACACCCAGTTGAGACATTGCTTCTTCCCTGAAGCATCATCCTCCTTTCTCAGACACTTTTCAAAAAAAAATTCTTTTGTATAAACTGTTAAAAAAAATGAAAAAGCCCTTTTATTTTCATTCACCTGAAACATCACCCCCTACCCCATGCACTGTCCTCACACAATTCTGGAGCCACCACTGCTGTCTCCCTAGGCCACTGGGGGTGGAGCTTCCTGTTAGGAACAGGACAGAGCTCAGATGTGACTGGTGCTCAGGGAGTCAGGTGGAACCTGTTGCCTGGAAGAGCAACCTTCTCTGGCCCAAGACCTGACACCTGCAAAGCAGGGAGAAGACCCAGCAGCCAGGCCAGCAGCCATGCAGAGGGGACTGGGGGCTCTTCTGGGGCTTCTGTGGGTGCAGCTTTGCTGTGAGTCGGGTTCCTCCCAGATGGGGCTGGGGGTGTTGTAGGGCTGATGGTGTGAGGGAGGACAGGGAGAGCTGGAACCAAGTCCCCTCCCTGTCCTCCATCCTCAGGGTGTTTCCTGGGATATTCTGCAGGTTTGTGAACTGGTCATGGATTCTTCTCCAGTGACACCAGCTGAGTTTGCTTTTCTCTTTCCAAGCAGGGGTGAGAGGGCAGCAGGTGGAGCAGAGTCCTTCTGCCCTGAGGATCCAGGAGGGAACCAGCCCTACTCTGATGTGCAAATTTTCCACCACCATGAACAAAGTGCAGTGGTTCCGACAGAAACCTGATGGTGGCCTCATAAGTCTGTTTTTCCTGACTCAGGGGACAAAGCAGGAGGGAAGGTTAAAGGCAACAGCGGATGCTAAGGAGCGCTACAGCACCCTGCATATCTCCACCTCCCAGCTGGAAGACTCAGGCACCTACCTCTGTGCAGCAGAGGCACAGTGCTCCCAGGGGACCTGCAGCCTGTCCCTAAACTGCAGCTGCACCTGCAGCCACAGCCTCTGCCTCAGGGAGGCTTGCACAGCAGTGTCTGCACACTTTGGGTGTCCTGATTCACATCATAGCATTGTTACCTCTGCTAATAGGAGACATATCGGCATTGCCATCCCATTTGGATGGGGCCCTTTTCCTCCCAGAAACACTTTGTAGGGAAAATTTCTTAATTAAGCTTAGAGCAATTGATAAGGTTGTCAAAACCCAAAGTACTGTTAAAACAGATCCCCTGGCAGAGCTTATAAATGACATCTAAATTATTGTGATGAAAAAGACTTGAAAAACAATGATTGTCTACAAAGAGATGACTCAGTGTTTTCCAGTTATTTGCAGATTGTTCAGTTTTCCAGGAAAGGTAATGAGAAGCTGTGACATTGTGTGTATGTGGGTGTGTGTGTGGATAAGAGGTTGGAGCATGTGCATGAGCAGAGGAGAGATGTAAAGGCTTGGTACAGGAGCATATGCAAGCTCTTAAATATAAGGACAGTTGCCTGATGGAGTAGAGTACTATTTTCATGTGAAATTTCAGATAAGCCAAGCATTTCCACAGAAAATATTTTTAAAATTACTTTTTCTTATAATGGAGGATATAGCAATTGGATGCATAAACAAACATTTTGAACTGTACACAAATCATAACACCTCTGTCAGTTTATCAGATCTCCACAAGTAACAGAAAATGTCAAAGGAAACATTTAAATGCTGATATATAAATTTACATTTCAAATTAAATTCAGACTCACAAGAAAATAATTGGTTTGAGGAGTAAAATTGTCTTAGAAAAATTGTTCCACTAGAAACATCAACATTAGACTTACTCAAATTCAAATTTCATGCTAATTTATCATTTAATTATGTGAATACAGTCATAGTTTATAAAATACTCTTTAGAGCTCTAGTGTCTGTTGTATTATTTTTCAAAATCAGAAATTTTCAAAAATTCAGTTGCAATATTTCTGTTTACCAAGACTATCTAATGTGCTTTCAATTACAGTGCTTGAAGGTTGCTAAAATATTAAATCTTGAAAATCTAATAAGTTAAATTAAAGAAGAACAAGCCAGAAAAGTCTTAATGATTAATCAACATATCATATTCAGAAAGTTATATTAGTTTTTATATAAACTTTTTATGACACTATTTTTTTGCAATTATAAGATTTCTATTGTTAATTATAGGTATTATTATAAATCCCATTTTTTTCTAAGTTATACAGTATTTTGTATAAAGAGTTCTAAAAGGTACACTCATACATTGCTGGTTGCAATGTACAACCACTAAGCAGTATGGATGTTTTTTAGAAAACTTGGAATGAAACCACCATTTGACCCAGCTATCCCACTCCTCTGGTCTATACCCAAAGGACTTAAAAGCAGCATACTATAGTGACACAGTCACATCAATGTTCATAGAAGCTCAATTCACAATAGCTAAACTGTGGACGCAAACTAGATGCCCTTTAGCAGATGAATGGATAAAGAAACCGTGGTACATATACCCAATGGAATATTACTCAGCATTAAAAGAGAATAAAATTATGGCATCTGCAGGTAAATGGATGGAGTTGGAGAATATCATGCTAAGCAAAGTAAGCCAATCCAAAAAAAATCAAAGGCCTAATATTTTCTCTGATAAGTGGATGCTGATCCATAATAGTGGGGGTGTGCCATGGGGAGAATGAAGGAACTTTCACTGGCCAAAAGGGAGGTAGGGAAGGGGAAGGGATATGGGGGCAGGAATGATGGTGGAATGAGATGGACATCATTACCCTAGGTACATGTATGACTGCACTTTTGGTGCAACTCTACATCATGTTCAACCAGAGAAATGAAAAGTTGTGCTCCATCTGTGTATAATTAATCAAAATGCATTTTGCTATCATGTATATCTAGTTAGAACCAAAACAAGAATGACTAATAGCCAAAAATAAATTAAAAAGAAATTTTGATGGTAATTTTATGGTTCTGTAAGTGAAAGGATGGTTTTTATAAATGTAGGCAGCCCTTTTTTTGTAATAAATTGGTTTGCAACATTGAAAAGTATATATTACAATATTTAATAGCACTTTTTTTGCTTCCTGAGCAAGGGATCCCAAATTTTCATTTTGTACTTCATCCCACAAATTTTATAGCCAGCCAGTTTGGAATCTTTAATTCCTAAACTATGCTGGAAAGGAGGGTGTTTGAAGTCAGAAAACAAACAGAATGTTTAAGAAAGTGTTTATTAATTTTTTTGTTGCTGTTGTTTTACATATTAGTAAATCTTTCACCTTATCCAGGTTTTACAAGTTGCTGAGGGGTGTGTGTGTGTGTGTGTGTGTGTGTGTGTGTGTTTGTGTTCTCTTCAGGAAAGCTATATTATACAGATTTTCAGAAAGGAACATCCTGTTTACCCACGGCTCATTTGTGTAGTCCATCCCCATATTGCTGCTTGTGATGAACTTTATACTTAGAAAAGTCTTTTTTTTTATTCTATGATACTATGGATTTAGTCCTTCCTGGATGCATCATCTATCATGGATGCTATAGATAGGAATTTATCCTAAGGATATTGTCTTTACTTCTGAATAGGCCCAAGGATTGGTTAGGGTAACCTTAGACATAATAGGTTGCATAAAAACATGAAAATGGTCTTGAAATTTCATGATGCAGGACAATTTCTCACTGCTCTCAAACCATCTCATGACTCACACATCCATAGTTAAGGACATTTTCTGTTATATTGCATAAAAGAAATTCAGAGTCATAATGATGATTAGAAATCCATTAATCCAACTTCATTTTAAAGGCAGAAATGATATGCAAGATGTCAGTATAAACCAATTAGCAAACAAATGAGTGGTAATGGAAAGAAACTGTGTTGTCCCACTTCTCCTTGACATTCCATCTCCTGCCTCACTCCTGCAGAACCATATTGCTGAGCAAAGAAAATCTTCCTCATGGAGCCCAATCACTATGAGCTCTGCAGTGTAAGTCTGGGAAAGCCTTGGTTTCGGTAGTATAACTGCCAGAGTAGAGAGTTTCGTTTTGTGAAAAGGTTTGACACTTCGGACAGGAAAGGAGGAGACTCAGGCTGATCTCTGTTATTCTACCAGCAAGTCAGTCCATTATTTGTTGGCTGCTGTGGGAGGATGAGTAATGGGCCATACCCAGATGATCTCTAAAGACTTTACTAAAAGTGGCAATGTATTAAATATCCCAGGTGGACATCACCTGAAAGAAGGATAGATAAATAATAAGCATCAATCATTGTCAGCAAAAATAGTCACTGAAATTGAGATACTGAGATGAACATCGTCCTCCTGAAACTGACGGTTCATAAAGATGCTAGAAAAATCCTTTTCTGGGTGATACCATAACTCAAAAGGGCAAATATTGACCCAAAGTATCTGTCTTCAAGAAAAGATGCTTAATGAGGGACTAGAGAATTCTATCACAGGAATGGGTGAGAGAATAGAACAATCTTAAATATAAATATGTTAAATATGTGAAAATATATATTTTATATGTGTATACATACATTTATATTTTGAGTTGATGTTTGTAATCAAAGCTGTCTTTCAGTTTTCAAGGGTGTGATAAGTAATAGAAGGGTAAAAAATATTCTCTATAACTCCAAAGTACTATAGAGTACAAGTCACAAGAAAGGACTTTCACTTCATGGAAATTGTTTCTTGGTTTCCCAGAAAACATTTCTCATGGTCAGTTCCTTAGGGCCAGATTTCTATTTTCTATTTGTATTATTCCAGCATAGAGGCAATATTTGGGTTTCCCTAGATTTTGTCTAGGGAAAATATATATATATATATATATATATATATATATATTATATTTTATATATGCATATATTATATACATATTTTATATATATATAAAACATCTCTGGAAACTAATAGGACTGAATAACTTTTTTGATGTTTTTGGGGGAAAAACATCATCGTTTAATTTGGGGGGAAAAATAGTGGTCAAGGCAGCAGAAGTTCATGCCAGGAGGATTGGTTCATGGGCTAGAGGAAACTCCAGGGAAAATATGTCAGTCATTGTATTTAAGGACATATCCATTTTGATAGCAGGAAATTGCATCAAGAAAAACTTAGATGTGGTTGCAGCTTTTGAATTTGTAGCTTGATAGTTCTTGAGAACCTCTTGTTTTTTAGGACTTTGAAGAATACAAGCCACACAGAAATAGGAGAAGGTCTCTTAAAGTATCATATTCATCATTGCAAATCAACCCAATCTATAGGTCAAACTGTTCCCAAATTTGAAGTATTAATAACTCAAGAACTTATCGCCCTGCTCCCTTACCATTAAGAAATGATCTTTACTTTTTTTTCCAATACCATCTTTGTTGAAGGAAGATGCCATGGTTGGATTATTGGTACTGCTTGTTCTCTGGTAATGACAAGGTCATGGACAAGGCCAGGCTTGAAGGAGCAGAGTCTGAGATGATGCACTTCATATATCCTGATCTTTGGCTTACATGTTCCTTTTCAGAATAATTTTTCTTTTCAATGGACAATTCTTAAAAGTAGATTTGGCTGAAAAGGAAAGTCATAGTATTTTTTCTTTGTCTAAGAGCATGAATTATGATGTTTCCTTAACTTCAAACATGTAAACTCAGCCCATTGTTGAATAAATACCAACATCTTCTACCTATTTACAGTTTATTAATAATGACATGATCTCTATATCTAATCTCTGATTTAAGACCTGCTTCTACTTCTAAATGTCTGAGTCCCAAAAGGGGACTCACCAGAGTTAAGTAGTTAAGGATGTGAGGATGTGACCACTAGGGGACAGTCTACCTCAGTTGGTGCAGAATAGGTGGTGGGTTCATTGCAGTGGATTCTGAATAAATAAACTTTTTTTTTTAATTGGCTGAGTAGACAATGAGAGAAGCCACTATAATTGTTAGAGAAAAAAGCGGAACAACAGGTAACAGAAGTAGCTCTCCTGGGTAGATTGCAAGTCTGGATTAATCTTAATTGGAAAGAACAATGAAGATCTCTACTTCTGCTTTATTCATGGTCTTATGGCTACATCTGAATTGTGAGTTGAGAATTTGGGGCAACAGGGTATAATAGTAGATGTTATTTACACATCTGGGAAGAAGACTGGCTTTATGCAGGTTTTTCCTAGTTATTGATGAAAAACTTCTGAACAGTCATGACATGCTCACATCATCTTTTTTTTTTTTTAATTTTCTTTCCACATAAGTGTGAGCCGAGGAGAGAAGGTGGAGCAGCACCCTTCTACCCTGAGTGTCCAGGAGGGAGACAGTGCTGTTATCAACTGTACTTACTCAGACAGTCGTTCATCTTACTTCCCTTGGTATAAGCAAGAAGCTGGAAAAGGTCCCAGGATCACTATAGACATTCGTTCAAATAAGGAGATAAATCAAGTCCAAAGATTCATTGCTGTGTTGGATAAGAGAGCCAAACACTTCTCCCTGAACTTCGCAGCCACCCAGCCTGGAGACTCAGCTGTCTACTTCTGTGCAGCTGATGCGCGATGCTTCCCAGACACCTGCAGCCTATACTCAAACCTGCAACTGAGCTGAGCCCCACCTACTTCCCTTAACACAGACTTTCAAGTATAACATTTGTCATATTGTTTGTTTGCAAGTGGAAACTAGCACTTTAATATTAAAAGCATGTAATAATAAGGTTAGGTTCATAATGATCCAGAATAAGTTAGAATATTTTGTTGGCTTAATAATATTCTGTTGCTTAATAATTATTTTATAAATTATATATTTAAGGTATACAACATGATGTTTCAACATACATACACATAGTGAAATACAAACAGATGGATAGAGATGCATAGGATGAAGTCTGGTGCAAGGGGCAAAGAGATTCTATGCCCTCTTTGGGCAACCCGAATCAAGGCATTGCCATGTGTTCAGCAATCCTAAGACTGTGATTAATAGTTTCTTAAGAGTAATTAATTAGTGATGCATCTTCTTCAAATACAAGCTTTAATGATGAGCCTATATTTGAAGTTCAGAATCCCTTCATAAAATAACTTCTTAGTATCACATTCATAATCCTTGCTAGGTGTGGGCTTTTGGCTCTTTAGATAATTGTATTTGTTACTTTTTTCTGATAACAAAACATTATATGCCAAATATCAAATTTATGTAAAATATGAAATTGATAATTCTGTCACTAATCTGTTGCTAGTATTTGATCAAAGGATACAAAGAAATAGATATGTGGGATCAACAAGCTCAGAGATCTGTTTAATATAAAGACCCTAGTTAATGAAATTATAATGTAGTAAGGATTTTTGTCAAATAAGTAGATTTTAGAAGTTCTTGTCTAAAACACACAAAAGAGTTACCATGTAAAACTGCAGGTATGTTAATTTGCTTTAGTTTATGGAGATTTTACTATTTATATGTGTCTTATAACATCCTTTTATGAATTTCAAATATATATAGTATGATTTATTTTAAAGTAATATTATTTATTTCCACTTATCTAAGAACTTCTTTATAAATTTCCAATTTTTAGCACAGTTAAATTTATTCCTCAACATCTAATCTTTTTTTTAATTTTTTTATTAGTTGCTCAAAACACTACAATGATCTTGATATATCATTCATTTGATTCAAATGGGGTAGGAATTCTTATTTTTCCACATGTACAGATTGCAGGATCACATTGGTTATACAGCCATGTAACATCTGATCTTTATTGCTCCTTTATCTTTATTTCTGGTGGATGTGAAAAACATTTTATATATATTTTTCCCACCATCTTATTCTATTGCCTTATTAGTGGATAACAGAAGGAATTTGGTTAGTGGTTAATTTACAGATAGCTTGCTACAATCCTATCTTTGCTTCATGTTTTAATTAAATCAAACATTATTATCACTAGCCTGTTTTAAAAAATGTACATCTTTTTATGTTGTTAATAAATTCACACAAAAAAGAAATTATGTAAATAATTAATTCCCTAATTTTCCACCTCTGGTCAAAGGTAGTTGCATTTTAAGAGCCCCAACTCTTCCTAACAATGGTTGTAATTTAGGTTGGCATGGTGACAATTATCTCCCTTGGCTGAATTATGAACATTGGTTATCAGCTAATTTAGTTGTAATTATTGTTTTTAGAATGAATTAGGTTTAAAAAATCTGAACAAGAAAGGTCAGTATTGTAGCCCAAGTCTCATCTGGCTTTTCTTTACATCTCTCCATATATCACTTGATCATGTCCTGGAGAAGCACATTGACTCTTGATTGGTTTCCCCAAGACTAATATTGAAGTGAGAGGGAATCAAGGCTTACATTTTATTCGTTTACCTCTTGGTTATAAGAGAGAGGGCATAATTATCATTGGCTCAACTGCTGTGTCTTATGAAATGACAATTTACCCAACAAAACAAAAACATCTCTAGCCACAGTGTGCAGGGTCAGTACCCAGTTATTTCAGATCCAAACATTTTTAAGTTTTAACCCACAACATGGTTAGTATCTGTTTTTTCTTTTGCCTCTATAACAAAGTTCTTGGCTTAAACATAAGAAATATTTTTCCTTTCCTGGTTCTGGAGGGCCAATGCTGAAATCAGTTTCTCTGGACTGGAATGGGAAATCTCCTCTCTCATCTTTGATGGTGTCAGCATTTCTGGGCTTGTGGCTGCCTCCTCCTGATTCTGTCTCCATCATCACCCTGGCATCTCCCTCTCATTGTCACGTCTCTCTCTTTTTGAGAAGGAGGTGCGACATGAATGCATTTAAGATTCATTCAATGTAAGATACTCTCCCCATTTGAGGATCTTCAACTTAATCAAAATATAAGGTAACAGGGAATCAGCCATACCTAAATTTGGGGGGGGGGCAAGGGGGGGGGTTGTTATTTTCCTACCACAGTTGACATAACTGCAGCTTTTCTTTTTCATGTTGAGAAAATAATATTTGTATTACACACAGTCCAGTCAGAAGAAAAGAAACAATTATTGTATTTTCTCAGTGTTTTAAATTTTTATTCTTAAATATTAAATAGAAAAATTAACACTCTTGGTGTACAGTTCTGAGACTACTGAATTATAGGACACAGAATATATTTGAGTAACCATTGCTCCTTCACAACACAGAAAAGTCACCGTGGAATCTCTTGGGCGCTCCTACTGTAATCACACCCTCTCATCCCAAATCCTCACAAACCCTCATCTGTTCTTTTCTAATTTTATCTTTTTCAGAATGTTATATGAGTGAAAACACAGGATATATAATCTTTTAAGGAGTCTGATTCTTGGTTAGAGAAAGCACATGTTAAATTTTTTGTGCCATTTTTAAAACATCAGTTGAAGTGTTTAAATTTCCTTGGATATTTGACTTCTATTTCTCCAAAATATAAACAAAATAACATAGTCAAAAGCCATTGTGGCAGTTGAAAATGGAGAGATTCAGATGAGGTTACACAGATTCATATAATCAGCCTAATTTTATTAATCAAAATTCATTTTACCTATATAAATTGAGAACTGGGTTATTATTTGGAATTTCCAAGAAGTGACATTGAATGGTATAATCAACAGTTCTTTAGGTTTGTTGCACCAGCTATGATTTTGTAGAGCTGAATTTTAGCATTAGTGCGGTGATTGCCTCATGTAAAGCCTACACCAAAACATTTATTTTATTATTAAAATAATAAAGTAATATAAACTAAAAATATATAGCATTCTTTCATTAAAGTGAGAAAATAAAAAATAAAAGAAACAAAGTACTGCTAAAGAGAATATGACGATCAGTAATTCCTATTATCTTCAGCATTCTGTTTTGATGGTCTTAGATGCATGGTCTACTTCACGAAAGTGCATTATTGTGATAAGGATCTTGGGTTAGGACTAAATTCCTATGGACTGTCTGCTTGTGGAAACATTCTGGAGACGCTTCATTAAGATTGTTAAAGTGAGTTACTTTTGATACCTGTCATTTAAGGATGGATGTGTCACAGTTGTTGGTAAAATAAAACCAAGGATCAATTCCTTGAACTTTATTTTCTGAACTGGTATTAAATGGCATTTAATGAGGTTGTTTCCACAGGTTCAAAGGGATATTTCTCAACATTGTTTTCTGATACGAAATCATTCAGTTTTAGTTCATGTAAAGGTGATTAAATGAAAATCCAGGAACTGCAACCTGTTGACATGTTGATGAAAAGATGGAGTAACATGAGTTTATGTATCTCCTTATGTGTGTACAAGAAAAGGATATGTATGACTTGGGAGTGACATGTGCCTAATGGTGACCAGAACATAGCAAGAAAACTATGGCTTTGCATGTGGGGAAAAAGCAGGGCCATGAGAGCTTAAGGAAGGAATGAATAATATCAGTCCTGGGAGTTCAAGCATGTCTGATGCAGTAATTCATTTCAGTTTTATTCTCCATTTGCTATTTCCACATTTTCATATGACAGGTGGTGAGAAAAGTAAAATTTCCGAGTAAGGGCATGATCTCTTTTCAAAATTCACCATGAGAATGTCAAAATATCTGTTCTAGACAGGAATACTTCTTGTAGCAGTTATGAGATTTCCTTCAATGAGAAGTGTAGTAGAACTCAACATTATGAGAAGAAATTAATAATATGTCTGATATAAAAATGTTGGATGTTTGTAGAGAGCAGAACAGTTGTACCATATGTGGTATCATCAGATTTAATGGAGATTCCAGCGCAAAATCTGAATATGCTTCAACCAATCTAGACAATGCTAAAATTACTTTGTGAAAATCACAAGCTTTGGCTTCTCTGCCAAGAAATAACTTATGATAAGCAGTGGATCAATGTTCTTTGCCATGTTGTTTAGTAATATCTCTAGGACATGGCCTTCTTTTTACTCTTTACAAAAAAAAAAGAAAGGTTTTTCATAATTCCTGATGCCATGATCAACTGCCCTAAGGAGGTGTCCAGGACACCTTTCATGCAGGCCAGGGCATACAGAATATAGGAACTTATTTAGGTTCCCAGTTGAGGTAAAAGGAAAATGACAAATGACAGATTTAATTATTTGATAACCTACTAACCAAGTTCTGGTGTCTAATCTTTATGAACAGAACTGGGAGAGAAAAACTAAAAAAAGAAGGGAAGGGGACCTTGATAAGAGGACTTGATATTTGAGGGCTTCATGCTAAATGTATTAGCAAAGAGAATTTAAAGGTTTTCTTCTGCTGTTTGGTCCAATATGGGCAACTGGATCAACATTATAAAGCCATAGGCAAAGTGCTATTCCACAGGCAGGTTCAAAGAGCTTCAGTGACTAGTCCAAATAACTCTAACTTCTATTGATAAAGTGATTGATTTCTGCCTTAGTATAAGCAACAGCACACATAGGTGTCAGGATACATAAATGTTGCACCTCATTTTTTTTCCTTTAATCTTTGGGATGTTCATTCGTTATTTTTTGCACAATAAAAATGAAAAGAAGGATTGTTTTCTACCTAAACAGCTCAAGATAAATACAACTTCTGGGGTTGAGGAACTGGATGTTACATAGAAAATGGAGTTTTGATGAGGAAATAAGCTTTCATATGAATATATATGAAGACCCATTT